GCTGTAAAAAGTCTGAAATTTCAAATTATATATAGATAAAGCAAAGATAAATTTTGTCTAGAAAAAAAAAATATTGTTAATTTTTTAATGATTATAGACACTTGGAGACTATAAAAGAATATTTTATTAAAATTTCTTTAAAAATTAATGATCCTATTAGGATAATTGAAGATTATATAATAATTTTTTCTCAGTGAAGAAAAGAAATATTTGGCAAAAAAAAAAAAAAATTATTAATACATTTCAAGTTAATTACCTTAGTTGTAATTCTGGGTTCCTAATCAGGAGGTTGAACGATGAAGACCTCCTTGTTTCCAATAATTTTCTCCAACCCCCAATAACTGCCGTTGTTGACGTAGTGTGTGTGTGTGTGTGTATGCGGTATAGAAAATCCATTTCTGCCATCATCCCTCCTACTATTTCGCTCATCGATCCTCGTATTCGAAGGGTGTTTAGAGGGTTGGTGGTGGTGGTGGTGTTTTATCATTGAAAAAGCTCCACGAACCGATGAATTCCTATCACGATGGCGGGCATCCGCGACGCTTCGGTACTCGGAAGAAGTCGAAAAAAACATCGTTGGCATCTTTTTCCGGGTAGGACTTTCCGACTCGTTTCGCCTGGAGACAAGGTAGTTGCACTTGGAACACCCCGCCACAAGGCCACTTAAGCAGGCGCGCGTCTCACTCTGAACAGGGTCGCATGGTGATAGAGAGGGTGCAAAAAGCAAAAGCCGGTCGCACACAACTCATACCACACAACCAAAGGGGTTGGCATTTATATTTCTCTTTTTTTTTATTGGATTTTTATATATTTTTTTTTCTTCTATTTGAATTGCCAACCCCAATGTATATATGTGTGGTTCGATATGCAATGTGTGTCCCGAGGGGTTATATTTGTATTTGTTATGTTGGTGTAGTCCGCATGTTTGAGAATCCCTCGGGACAATATATATACATATAAAAGCGATATCGATTTGTAGGCAAATTGGAATTATATTTAAAAAAATATTTATTTTTGTATAAATATTTTTTAATGGAAGAATAATCTATTGGAATTTTTAGATTATAATCTACATTATTATATATATATGCAAATATCACTGATTCTTAATTATAAATTGTTAGGTTGGGAAGACAAAATTAGCACTACTTAATTTGAGGTTAGGTTTGCGAGTTATAATATCGATTAATCGATTTATCAGCTATTGGAATTCTTATTGGGCAAGCGCAATAAGATTATATTTTAAAAGAATTTTTTTTATGCTATAATACAGAAATTTATTAACTATTTATAAAAATGAATAAATTTTCTATTAATTATAAAATATTAAATTTAATTATATTAAAATTTTGAAGAAGCCTTAAAGAATAAAGTTTCAAAAACACATTCAACTACCCTTGTTTTACCCTCTTGTTTTCGTGCTCTCCGGTTGTTTCACCCTGGTTGCCAATATCCATTCCGCAACCATCGTTCTCATTCACTGATGGCGCGTTATTCAAATAAATATATATTTATATTTATATATCAATTTTAATATTAATCTTGTTATTTTATTTATTATTTTTATTTACTGAAGTCCGAAACCAATTGCAGAAAATTTGCAAAACTTCCATCCATGATTCTTTTTAAAGAAAGTTTTTCAAAAAAAAGTAATAATCAATTTTAATATTAATCTTGTTATTTGATTTATTTCTATTCACTGAAGTCCGAAACCAATTCCAGAAAATTTGCAAAACTGCCACCCATAATTTTTGTTGACGAAAGTTTCTCAAAAAAAAATAATCAATTTTAGGTAATATTAATCTTGTTATTTTATTTATTTTTTTCACTTAAATCCGAAACCAATTGCAGAAAATTTGCAAACTGACACACATAATTGTTTTTTTTAACGAACGTTTTTTGAATAAAGATAATCAATTTTAATATTTATCTTGTTTTTTTATTTTCATTCATCTAAGTCCGAAACCAATTGCAGAAAACTTGCAAATCTGATACATAATTTTTTTTATTTAACGAAAATTTTTTTAAAAAATGATCATTAATTTTAATTTTAATCTTGTTATTTGATTTATTTTTATTCACTTAAGTCCGAAACCAATTTCAGATAAATTGCAAAACTGCCACACAATTTATTTTATTTAATGAACATTTTTCTGAAAAGATAATCAAATTTAACATTCATCTTATTATTTTATTTATGTTTATTCACTTAAGTCCGAAACCAATTGCAGAAAATTTGCAAAACTGCCACTCATAATTTTTTTTAACGAAAGTTTCTCAAAAAAAAATCAATTTTAATATTAATCTTATTATTTGATTTATTTTTATTCACTGAAGTCCGAAACCAATTCCAGAAAATAGATTTAAAAGTGTATAAATACATATTTCAAAAAAAGCAAGTTGTATAGTATAGAAACCACCCTGTTTTGCTTTTAAAATTATGTTCTCCTGTTGAGAAAAACCTCGAACCAACCCAAATCAAGGCTGCACCAATGCCAAAAAATATCCTTGCTTTAATCGATCAAAATTTCGAATGTCATATTTTTTTCCCCTACATATAAAGAATATTTATATACATTTATATGCATTTTTACAATTATGTCATATACATAATAACATTATATTATTAACATACATAACTTTCATTTATATCATTATCCTATATTATTTATCTTTTATAAATTTTTTTTTGATCGCTATTTAATATATTATATTGTAATTAAATGAATTTTATTTTAGACATACATATTAACTTTGTACATATTAAAACAAAGTGTAATATTTTTCGTTAAGAGACGATTTTCTCAAAGATAAGTACAATTTATATAAATTCTTTATATTGTAATCTTTTTTTATAATAATTATTGTTAATTTATCACATCACAAAGTCAGGTAAACTATGGACCATATTCTATATACTATATATAGATATATATATATAAATATATATATATATAAAACAAGGGACCAACTTCTTCGGTATGAAGCCCTGATAACAAGATGCTGAAATCATCTCTTAGTTAGTGAGATGGCCAGAAAATGATACTAATGATTGACAAATATTTAAATATAAATCATGTATAAAAAGCGTATGTTATCTATTTTTTATCCATTTTATCTTCTTATCACTTTTTCTCCATCTTGAAGATCTTTTAACTATCGACTCTTATATTCATATATATAAATATAAATATATATATATATATATATATATATTTATATAGATATAGATATATATATACATATGACATATATATATTTGTATATATATATAAAATATTTCTCTGCAAGAATTAGGAGAGTATGTATTAATATATATATACTGGCTGAATCGTAATATATATATATATATATATATATATATATATATAAATACAAATAATATAAATACAAGTGCTAGAGAGGTAAAAATCAACTTTGAAATATAATAAATAATATGAAATAATATAGTATTATACAATATAATTTAATAAAATATAATTTAATATAATAATGTTAAAAAAACAAACGCTGTATTGAATAATATTTGTAGCATCTGCCAACTAATGATTTGAAATGTTCCTCTCGCTTAGAACGACTACCTCTTAATTTATATGATTCTCTGTTCTTCTTGAGACGTAAAAGTGACTGACGAAGTGAGCGTAACAAGAATAATAGATACCTATATACATATATATATATATATATATATACGAATGTCGTTACAGTTTTATTATTTTTTTTTTTGTAATCTTTATTAATTATAAAATTACTTTTTATAAATTCAGAAATTGATATTTTTTTACAATTTAAAAAAAAATTAGTCTTAATAAAGGGAGTTATAATTTTTTTTTTGGGAATATTTATCAAAGTATGATCAACAATTGACCATTTTCACTATAAATCTTCATTTACACTATGATAAAGTTACTAGTTTCACTCTTTGTTATTCTGGAATCCTGTTCATCTCGGGACTATAAAGCAAGTGGTGAACCAATATTTGGACGCAGCAAATGGCGAACGAGGAAGGAGTGTGTGAGAGAAAGCGAAAGTGAATAACACATATGTACGTCTCTCTAAAAATATCATTATATACTTACAATATAATATTTTCTAATTACAATAAATAAACAAATTTTTTTAAGAAACGGTTGATTTTTTCAAAATTTTCGTTTTTTAAATATTCATTTATTTGACATTGTTTAAATAAACAATATTTAATGAAAATAATCATTTTTAAATTGAAAGTATTTAAAAAATAATCTGTAAAAAAAAAATCAATTTCTGTCTATATAATATATGTAATTTTAATAAATTCTGAATATTGAAAATGTATAACTAATTATATTGCTATATAGTATAAATCTTTTTGAATTTTCTAGGTCAATATTTCTGTCTCGGGGAATTTGGACCATTGCCAAATTTCTCTGGTCTACCCGCGAGGAGTGAAGTAGCGATTTACTTTCTAGACTTTTATGACTGTCATAAAAGACAAAATCTTGACAATTTGCTTTTTAACTGTATAAAATACTTAAATAGTGTAATTCTATTTCTAAATGTAATGATCATTGACAATGTTTAAATAATCATTTTAAGATTTATAAAGAAATTATAAAAAAAAACCTTTTTTAGAAAAGTAAAGAATATAATTTTAAATCCGTTTTGTAATAAATAAAAAAAATTACTAAATTATATTAATAATTATTATTTTATAATTATTGGTAACATTTTTTAAAACTAGAACTTCGATTGGTTCAATAGCTGTTTTATCTGTAGTTGACGGTTACGTTCTTCATATAACTGCCACCAGAGGTTGCCACCTCATGGTAAAGCTATGTCCAACTGACGCTAAATGCACATTACAATTTTACCATCTCGTTTTCTTTCTCGAGATTTTAATATTTCTAATAAATTACATGATTGTTAATTACATTTAAACATTGAAACATACATAATTATTAATTTCGAATTACATTTCATTGATAAAAAATTAGATAATAAGACTCTGTAGAGACATATAATATCTAACTACCCAACCCTGCTAGCACCTGGTAATACCAGATGAACAACAAGTAATAACTTTCCCCGCTTTTTTCATGTATTTTCAACATTTTATTTTAAACAAATTTTTCATTTTCAACAAATTGACAATTTTGAATCTATACACACTCGATATCGACGGATAAATTTGTTTTCATTTTGTAATGAAGTGTGTGTGACATAAATTTCTTTGTGGCGGTAAATAATCGTGAATTTAAGGTTAGGTTCGTCAACAAATTTATTACGTTGCATTTCACTTTTTGGTAAGTAAAACAAATTTTCTATTAATTTATTATTATTTTTTTTTTGTATCATTTTTGAAATTTTATTATACCACTATTTTTATATTATACTTATAATGTATATATTATATTAGTATCAACGATAATTAAAATTTGCGTACAAAGAAACTATTTAATAATAATTAATTTTCTAGAATTATTATTTTAAAAAATAAAGCAAAATGAGAAATCACAAAACAGAGCGAATAGCACGTAAACCAATTCATTGTTTATCAATGCGACAAAGACGAAGAATACGACAGGAAGTGAAACTGATTCAAGAATCTGCTACTGTTGAAAATAAAAGAAATCAAAGTGGAAATTCAATTACACAAGGAGAAAATAATATTTCTGTAAATTCACCAAATATCATTTATGTTCAAAGTGAACAACGTGTACCTCAATTTGTACAACAATCAACAAATTCATTTTCAACAATTCAAGATAATGTTGATCCTCTACTAACAGTGTCAACAATTTCTGATAATTTGGTATTACCAATTACTTTTCTTCCTGGTCCTTCTGGTTATGAAGCATCCAATGAAAATGGATTGTCTTCCACACTTAAAATAGAACCATTCACAGAAAATAATCAACAAACTTCATTTAATCATCAAGATAATAATTCTGATATTCTATTAGAATTAAGGTAATAATAGTTTACCTTTTTTTTTTCTTTGATCAAATTTATTTCTTTATACTTATAATAACACAGAAAATTAAAAGGCATTAAAATAAGCTTATTATTTTCATCCAATTTTGCTTATTTTAATCCATTTTGATATTAAAATAAGCAAAAATTGGATTAAAATAATAAGCGTTGCAGCTTATTTTAATGACTTTTAATTTTCTGTGAATTAATCAATTGTTTAGGAAATTGAATGCAAAATTGGACACCTATAATAATAATTTTCGTGAAATTAATTCTCGCCTTGAAACAATTGAAATGCATTTGAAACAAGAAAAAAATAAAGGACAAGCACCACCAAAACCAAGTATTATTCCCATGCAAACAGTTAAGGAAGTTATAGAATTTGACAAAGCAAGCGATGATGTTTACAATGGATTAGTAAGTTTAAAAAATGGAATTGTATTTCTTTAGACAAAAAATATAAATTTAATGTTTAAATATAAATTCTAGGTCCGTTATTTAAAATACATTGGAGGTTTTACGCTACGAGAAGCATTAAATCTTTGCATGAAGGAAGTTTTAACAAATGATGTTGCCAATAATTTTACATGGCATGGAAAAGATACTGGTCATGCACAAGTTGGAGTTGCATTATACAGTAGACAAATAACAAATGCATTTTATGGTAAATTGAATGTTAATCATTTTTTCATTTAAAATAATTTAAAAATACAAAGTAAAGAAATATATTAAATATAAAAATTGTTTTGCTAAATGTTTGAAAATTTTAATTATTGTAGAAGCAGTTTCACAGAGTCAGCATTTTGAACAACCCACGAGAGCAATGTTCGCATCACAAATGCGAGAAGTTCTTCGTATCGCAAAACAGCGACTCCGAAATTCCCTTCGCAAACAACAAGTACAACAAAACTTCGATGGTGATAGAGATGACGATCCCTGGGAATAAGAAATCTTTATAAAAAAAAAGAACACTTGTAAAATATTTGTAAATATTTTATGATAAAAGAAACAAGAAATTTAAGTTTATATTTATAAAAAAAGAAATGTTAAGTAATATTTGAAACAGTTTTTTGTAACAAATTGTTTAAATTTCAATTTTTGACAATAACCGTTAAAATAATTCACTTTTTTTCGATATTTTTAAAAACCAAAGATATATATATTTATTTAGACTTCGAACAAATATTTTCATTTCATTAAGATAATTTCTTTCTCTCCTTTTTCTCTTTATTAATATTAAAAAAAAAAATACGATATTCATTTTGTAAAATGGCGCTTATAAATAAGTATTATAAATAACGTTTATAATAAATTTTTGACTTTATTTTTCATCTATACGATATTATGTGAATAAATATCTTTTTTTTCAAAAAAAACTAATGGCATTTATTAAATTAAAAACAAAAGATAATAATTAATTTTATTTGTTCATAAAAATAAATATCAATATTTAGTGAAATTTTAATAAAATAATCTACTTTATTGAAATAGCTTTGCATGTTCTCCTAATATGTCTCTGTAAATATTGACCCAAAAACTCAGACGGTCTTTGTAAAGACCTTTCTCCATTTTCAGAGGCAAATTGATATTCATGTAATTTCCTTCGGGACCTGTGGGCTCCCATTTTACTATAATATCATCGTCCAATTTGTTTGTAGGATTTCTAAACAAGAAATAATAATTAATGTGAATTTTAAATGAATTTTTTTAATTTGAATTTTTTTAAACAAAATATTTTACCTATTTTTAGCAAAATTTGTCCAAAGTTTAGTGAATGTTTTTGTCATTTTCTCAGCAGGTGAATTTGGTTCTGGTTTATTATTAAAATATTTTGAATGAAATTCAAAAGCTAATTCGTCACCATGTGAGACACCAGCTGGAAATAAAATTATTTTCTTAAATAGAAAAATTATCAGTAATTTAATTAAAAATTTTTTTTTTAACTCTTACGTTCTTCTATTTTAAATAAATTTTTAACAAAACCAGCTGATGTATTATATGTAAATAAATATTCATAAATTGGTTGCTTATTTTTTGTTCCCATCATTTTTATCGTAAATCCAATTCCATAGGTGAAATAAATATCACTTGTTAACTAAAATTGTTTATAACAAATTTAGATCGCAACTTGTTTAAAAAATTAATTTTGTTACATTAAATTTTTTCTCTCTATATATACCTTAACAAATTCCGCAACACTGCTTGAAGTAAAGGCTTTTCCATCAAAATAAAATTTTCTTATTGCTTCTGAAATTTCTTTAAGTTTTCCATCGTCTGTTATATTAAGACTATCTGGTACAAATAATTCCAAATGTTTGTTAATTTCATTTGCTTTTGGTAGCATTTCTAAATTGAAAGAAAATATTTTTATTGTATTATTATAATTACAATTTTTTATAAATTCCAAGTAACCTGAATATGGCTTTAGTAGCTCTTCAAAATCAGGTCAAAAAAAGCATCGGATTCAGTTGAAATATGTTATTTCTGGCTTCTTTAGGGTCTTCATATTGCTTCCGCCATTTTGAATTTTGAAAAATCGACAACAAATTCGTAATCAGTGACTCCAAAAAACCCAAGTTTCAACAAAACCCAATAATGTTCTTTGATTATATGGTAAAATTGTGTTTTTTGATAGCAATGTAAAAATAGTTTACAGTTTATTAAAAAAAAAAAAAAAAAAAAAAATTTCCCAATATTATTATATAATTGTGAAAAAAAAAGTAAATTGCCGATTTTAAGACCTTTTGTCATAAAAAGCATTTCATCTGAAGTCATTCCAATAATTAAGGGTACATCAGCAAAGCTACCGGATTTCATCATCTCCCATGGATCGTTTGGCAAAAATATTTCCTGGCCCGCTTGTGGCTCGACTACAGGCACAAATGCACTCATTCGACCATTCAATAAATTCTGAAAATTCAATAAAAGTGATTGTCAATTCACTGACATGTAAATATATATATAGAAAATAAATCAATAAAGCAGAATGTGAGAAAAAATGTCGAAAAAATGAATTAAAATAATTCTCCATTTTTTTCCAAAAAAAAAAAAAAGTTATAATATTCGAAAAAATTAATAAGGGGAGAATTCATTAAAAATTTTTTTAACCATCTTTTTATTTATTTCCGTTGTTGCATCGACAATTTGTTGTGCTGAAAATTCCGTTAATTTTTTAACAAGCTCCGCTGAATCATTCGTCTTTATTCCCAAATATTCGCCCAATTTAAAAGACATTTCCATTCCATTGTGACTAATTGCATAATCACCTAATGCTGTTCCACTTTGCATAATTGCATTCTTAAATAATCCTAGAAAGTAATAAAATTTTGTAATTTTTTCATACACTTTTTTGTCAATAAATATAAAATTTTTTTTAAATATTATTCTTTAATTTTAAACCTTTAGACATTGGAGAAAGAAGATGATAATGAACTGATGATGATCCAACACTAATACCAGCAATTGTAACTCTATTTGGACAACCACCAAAATTTTTAATATTCTCTTTAACCCATCGAAGTGCCATAACTTGATCCTTTAAACCAACATTTCCAGGAGCGTTCACGTCATTTGTACTCAAAAAACCTAAATATTTTTTATTTATTTTTTTTATTATTATATATATATATTTTTTTTTCAATATTTACCAAGTGCACCAAGTCTGTAGTTCATTGTGACAAGAATGACATCGTCATCAATGAGAAAATCTGGACCAAAGAGATCATCATCTCCTGAGCCAGAATTGAATGCACCACGATGAAAAAATACAATAACGGCTCTTCGTGCATTTTTATCAATAGTCGGTGTATAGACATTGAGAAAAAGGCAATCCTCATCACCAAATAATCCCTCTCGAATATGACAATAAAAGACACATGTCGAACCATGTTTCGTTGCATCTAAAACTCCTTGCCAAGGTTCCGGTGGCTCAGGTGCCTATAATAATAACTTATTTTATCTAAATAAAAATTTTTGCTATCAATTTTTTTACATAGCGCAAAAAATTGCAGTAGATAGTAAAATTTTATTTTAATTTTTTTTATTATTATATATTTTATAATTTTTTATTTTTATATTTGAGCAAATTTATTTTACATATCAATGTTTAAATTAGTTATATTATTATATATTATTATATTATTATCATTAAAAATTATATTAACAATATTTTTTTTAAATAAATGGTTTAAGAAAATCATGAGCAGAATATTGCACAGCCTATTTATAGCTTCATTCCTGGTATATATAGTCACTTTTCCGCATTAAATGTTAATGACACTTTCTCTTTCCGTTCTTGTATTGACACCAACTGCTGGAACCCTGTTACAATCTATTCTTGAAAAAAATTCTACTTCCAAGTTTCTGTATTATATATAGTAACAAAAATATAGTAACAAACTTATTTTTTAATTTCAAAAAATTTTTTTTTTTATTTTAGAAATAAAATTAAATATTTTAAACTCACTCTAAATTTATTGGATCCAACATTGGGTTGTGCATATGGAATTCCTTTAAAACTAAAATAAGGTTTACCATTTGTTATTGTTGTTGCTTTTAATCCTTTCAATTTACCTTGACGAATATCAAGAGTAATTTCATCATCGGCACTTGTTGAAATAATTAAATATAAGCAGAAAACAAAAAATTTGTAAATCCACATTTTTTAGAAAAAAAAAAAATGCGATTACAAAATTGAGCGCAAGCTTTTATATATAGTCTTCGGGATTCATTAAGTGTTGGTTGATAATCAAATTTTACAGTTGTACACATTATGTAACAACACTATATTAGTATTTATCATGCAATCCTTTGATTTTTCAATATTTTGCAATTTTCTTTTTGTCAATTTGAAATTTACTGGAAAATATAACTAAAAGTAAAATTTACTTTTCTATTCTAAAAAATGTTTCCTTGAATCAAAAAAGTATTTCCTTGAATTAAAGAAGTATTTCCTTGATATATATATATATATCAAAGAAATACTTGTTTGATTCAAAGAAACGTTTTTCTGACATTGGGATATAATAGATTTTATTAGAGGCAAAAAATTCGAAATTTTATTTTCAATCTTAGCTTAATTGCACTTTTCCTTCTCTGCATATATTTGCAAATTGTTTCACAAACATTTTAAATAATGGAGATTTAATATCCGCGCTAAGTTTCTAAAGTTAAGTCACGTTTCCTGATATTATCTATGCAATATTTTGTCGGATTTACGTTTTATAGTCATTCCCTTGCTACTTTAGTGAAATGAGAATAAGTATATATATATAATATTCATTATTTTAGAAAATGGGCATTTATATTTAAGCGTTAAGAACATAAAAATTATTTCAATAATTATTATTTATTACTGAAATAATTTATTTTTAGATATATAATATTGTTATATATAAAAAAATCTAATTGTCCGAAACCAATGCCAGAAAATTTGCAAAACTACCACCCATAATTATTTTTAACGTAAGTTTTTAAAAAAAAAATAATCAATTTTAATATTGATCTTATTATTTGATTTAATTTTATTCACTGAAGTCCGAAACCAATTCCAGAAAATATGCAAAACTGCCACCCATAATTTTTGTTGACGAAAGTTTCTCAAAAAAAAATAATCAATTTTAATATTAATCTTGTTATTTTATTTATTTTTATTCACTGAAGTCCGAAACCAATTCCAGAAAATTTGCAAACTGACACACATAATTGTTTTTTTTAACGAACATTTTTTGAATAAAGATAATCAATTTTAATATTTATCTTGTTTTTTTATTTTCATTCACGTAAGTCCGAAACCAATTGCAGAAAATTTGCAAAACTGCCACCCATAATTGATTTTTAACGAAAGTTTTTCAAAAAAAAAATCAATTTTAATATTAATCTTGTTGTTTGGTTTATTTTTATTCACTTAAGTCCGAAACCAATTCCAGAAAATTTGCAAAACTACCACCCATAATTATTTTTAACGAAAGTTTTTTTAAAAAAAAATTACTGAAATAATTTATTTTTAGATATATAATATTGTCATATATATAAAAAAGTCTAATTGCAGAAAATGATATGTACGTTCATATTTTGATTAGCTTCAATTTTTATTTTCATTGTTAACATATTTTGTATATAGAGAACATCAATCATTAATTTTCGTTACATACAAATAATTCTTTTGTTCCATGTAATTATAGAGTATAGGAAGTCGTGGCTCATTCATAACTGATGTTTCATAACATTTTAAAAAGGTCACTAATGTATTAGACATCAATAAAAATGTTTATAAAAATATTTTTCAATTTTTTTTTTACATTCAATTTATTTATAGTATTTTTATTCATTAAAAAAAATTTTGAATGAAAACAATTTTATTTAAAAATACGGTTATAATTGAGGATATTGAGGATATATTTCCTTTCTACCTTATCGACAGAGAGAATAATTAAGTATAATATAAAGCTACTGCGAGACATGTTCACCTGATCCATTCTTATTCAGGGAAATACGCGGGACCGATATTATTTATTGTCTGGAATTGTCTCGATCAATTTTGAACACGACTTTTACTTTTAAAATGAACTTGGTTTATAAAAGTGGCATATATAACTTCCACTTGAAATATAGTAACCTGTTACACGAGCACCACTCAGAACACCCTTTGCTTTCCCTTGGGACATTGTCGGGACCATTTTTAAGAACCAATAATAGTTCTTTTATAAAAATACTATTTTTTCTTTTTCATTTTTTGTCTGCTTTTCTTTATAAAAATCTCCAATTTTCTTTCATTTACCCTATAATTAATCTTTATTTTAAAAAATTAAATCACGTTCCTCAAAAAAAAGTATATTTGCAAGAAGACAAATAGCAAAAAAAAAGAAATGATAATTATATCTTAAAATAATGTAATTTAAAGAAAAAATTAAATAAAAAAAAAAATAGAAAATATTTGATCGAAAAAAATAGGTTATTTAATGAAGGTTAAGAAACAGGGGGGCGTAGCTCAGATGGTAGAGCGCTCGCTTAGCATGCGAGAGGTACCGGGATCGATACCCGGCGCCTCCAAAATTTATTTTTTTTTTAATTATTTAATAATTTCAGAAGTAAGGTTTACAATTATTTGATGTTTTTTTTTGCAGATTTAACAATTGGCCAAGGTGTACAAAATACTCACATTAATTATAAAGGCTTTGTTAGATTATTTTGCCCGGCTGACAAATATTTGGAGGAACAACCAAAAAATCGTGTTGACACATCAATGAGATTAACTCTTTTAAGAGCTGAAATGAGTCGAATAACAACCATTGAGGGTCCTCCTCTTGATGCCTATATAGTGACTTCTGATGATGAACATCAGGTATTTTGAATTTTTAAATGTAAAAAAAAAAATAATACAAAAATGCGATATTAGTACCGTATCTCTTAATTTTTATAAAATTATTTTTTATAAGCTATATTGAATTTAAAATCTATTCTCAATTTTCAGAGTGGAAGATATATAGCGAATTTTAGAGAAACTATTATAGAAAAAATACAGGTATTATCAAAAAAAATAAGAAGTGGAATATTTAATAAATAATAGTAAATTTTTTAATTTGTTTGGATAAATTTTATGATTTAAGTAAATAGTAATTTTTATTAATGCATATTTCTAAAATCAGTTTTGCATTTTTTGTGCAATTTTTCCATTTATGAGCGCATTTCTTTTTAAAATGTGAATATGTATACAACTACAAAATACATACATTAACTTGTGTGATTAAACATGTTTGCATGTTGTGTTTTTGAACCTATAAAATTGTTAAATTACAACCATGATACCACAAAACATTACCAGTTTCCAGAATTATAAGCGAATGTGTTATGCGGTGAAATGTTCCCTAAAATTTGCATATTAACGTGTTTTAGGAATATTTATTACACTTCTAACATCAGCAACTGTTATCATTAGAAATATTCAACTACTTTTCAGTAAACTTTCAAATAATAATTTAATTTTACTGCACGATAAAAAATTAAATTTTCAATTATTATTATCGTTAAATTATTTTTTATATTTATTTAAATTATATTAAACACAAGATTATAAATAAAAAATTAAATTTCACATTATATAAAACATTTCATGAAATAATTTATCTGTTTTTATATTAATATTATAAATTTAATTCATGCAGAACATTATCTTTGATTAACTGATGTGTAAAATAATTTATTCATAGAATTAAATGCATTCATAGAATGATTATATATATATATATATATAATACAGAGAGAGATAATTAATTCAACACAAATTAATTTCTGTTTAATAGAGTGAAACTGTTCACGAACACGACAGAAGGAGAGAATACATCACAGGATTTCAGGGAAGTTCAGGAGATGCACTCGTTACGATGAATAAGGCAATTCTTTGGACTGATGGAAGATATCATCTTCAGGCAGATGAACAACTCGATTGTAAATGGACAATAATGAAAGAAGGACGCGAGGATGTATGTTTTATTTGTTAAATTAAATTATTTTTTATAATTTTCTATAAAATTTTATTCATATTCAATTATTTCAAAATGGAAATGTAGATCTCTAATGTATCAATTGAAAAGTTACTCTAGAGTTAGTAGTAAGTATTGTATCCACTTAGCGCCTGAACGTCTTGTGTCATTTTCTCAATTTCACTCCATCCTTTTTCTCCTGACTTAACCGACAGTCAATCGGATTTGTATGGAGAAGAAGCTTCAAGTGCCAACCGCCAGGGGGACTAATGAAATTTCTCCCCCAAGCGAGTTGACATATGAAATATTTATAAGGCGTGACGAGACACGGTAAAGACAAGATCATACTTCACAGGATCATTTCTGTAGTATATCTTCACGTCCTCTCTACCCAAAAGTGGAGTCGATGCAGCCACGATGATGAGCAGTAGCTCTTCTCTCTGAGCGTGAGAGGCTGCTGGCAAGATCGATTTTTTTTCGATCTTTCCAGTACTCGAGGATCGTTCGCCATTTGCAGTTTGTGCAAATGGTAATGGGAGTTTGGGCGTTCTGAGTGGTCTCTTATATTTAACAAAAAAAAAAAAAAATTCTCCATTTAATTTAAATTTTAATATTAATAATCTATTATGTTTTGCACTAATGGAAAAAACATTTTCGATCAACATAAATTAAGGATATAATTAAAATAATAAATTTGTTGTAGGTTCCTACAATAACTCAATGGTTAATAAATGAATTTAATGGTCGCAGAGCGAGGGTTGGAGCTGATCCAAAACTTATACCCGCGTTCAGGTGGAAACTTTGGGAAAAACAATTTGGTAATAAAAGTTTTCTACTATATACCACGCAAACGAAAACACTTCTTTTCTTTAGATTTATTTGAGACTACAACGAAGCAATTTTCTTCTATTTTCTCCTCAACTAATTTTCTCTATAAAATTGCTCATGTGGGAAAATGTTTTTTTTTTTTTTTTGGAAAAATAGGAAAGAAATTACCAAAATACAATAGCAAAACTTTTCTATCTAGTTGAAATCCTTTTTTTCATTTCATTATTCAATAGGTCACAACTATTATTAAATTATTTAAAAAGAATTTTATTTTAAATAGTGAACACATCAATGAGTTTGGTGCCAGTTCGTGAGAATTTAATTGACAATATTTGGAAAGTTGGGAGAAAATCCTATAGTGATTTGGCGGCATTTGTTCTTGATGATAAATATTCGGGTAAACCATGGCAGGAGAAAATAAAACAAGTGAGATTAGAAATGGAATTATCATCAGCCGATGCATTAATAATTACAGCCTTAGATGAAATTGCATGGCTTTTTAATATTCGTGGTTATGATTTGCCATATACACCTGTCCTTAGGGCATATACAATTATTACCTATGGGGCAATTCATCTTTATACACCGCGCAACAAGCTGAAACGAAGTACAGAAACTCATCTCAAAATGGATGCATGTTACCATGCAGACTGCGTCAAGTAAGTGTAATTATTACTGACGTGAAACAATTGTTATATTAAATTATAAACATGTCCTATATATATATACATGACAAGTGTCGCATCGTATATGACTCAAATTATTTCTCATGTCTTTTGGGACAGTGTGTCGAATATAATCAATATTCAAGACGGAGAATTATTAGTTCATTAAAATAAAAATAGAGTATAGATAGAAATTTTCTCTTTTATTACAAAATATATACGAAAAAAGTTCCATTTATACAAATTTATAAATTTTTTTCACAAGATATAATTTTCATTATTAAAAATTAAATTCAGATGGCATAATTACACATCATTCTGGTATGATATTTCAACAATGTCTCAAGCCTGGAATATTGTTTGGCTTCCCGCTCCTTGTGGATTTGTTCAAGGGACTTCTGCAGAAATTTTATTTTCCGTAAGTAGATAGTAAATAACAATTAAAAAAAATAATCTCTTATTATATTAAAATATTTAATTTGTCGTCCTCGAGACGTCACTTGGTTATTTTATTTATTTTTATTCACTTAAGTCCGAAACCAATTCCAGAAAATTTGCAAAACTGCCACCTATAATTTTGTTTAACGAAAGTTTTTCAAAAAAAAATAATCAATTTTAATATTAATCTTGTTATTTGATTTATTTTTATTTACTTAAGTCCGAAACCAATTCCAGAAAATTTGCAAAACTGCCACCTATAATTTTGTTTAACGAAAGTTTTTCAAAAAAAAATAATCAATTTTAATATTAATCTTGTTATTTGATTTATTTTTATTCACTTAAGTCCGAAAACAATTGCAGAAAATTTGCAAAACTGCCATCCATAATTCTTTTTAACGAAATTTATTCAAAAAAAAAATCAATTTTCAATTTCAATTTCATTTATTAACGGGACATGCCCTTTCGTACAATTTTAATATTAATCTTGTTGTTTGGTTTATTTTTATTCACTTAAGTCCGAAACCAATTCCAGAAAATTTGCCAGACTGCCACCCATAATTATTTTTAACGAAAGTTTAAAAAAAAAATAATCAATTTTCATATTAATCTTGTTATTTGATTTAATTTTATTCACTGAAGTCCGAAACCAATTCCAGAAAATTTGCAAAACTGCCACCCATAATTTCTTTTAACAAAAGTTTCTCAAAAAAATAATCAATTTTAATATTAATCTTGTTATTTTATTTATTTTTATTCACTTAAGTCCGAAACCAATTCCAGAAAATTTGCAAAACTGCCACCCATAATTTCTTTTAACGAAAGTTTTAAAAAAAAAATAATCAATTTTAATATTAATCTTGTTATTTGATTTATTTTTATTTACTTAAGTCCGAAACCAATTGCAGAAAATTTGCTAAACTGCCACCCATAATTCTTTTTAACGAAAGTTTTTCAAAAAAAAAAAAATCAATTTTAATATTAATCTTGTTGTTTGGTTTGTTTTTATTCATTTAAGTCAGAAACCAATTGCAGAAAATTTGCAAAACTGCTACGCATTGAAAATAAAATTATTTTTACATTGTTGAATTTTATGTAATTTGTTATATCAGTTGAAGAACTTGCTGTATAAAATAAAATTAATTAATGAAAATGATAAATAAATTATATTTACAATTATATATAGTTAGATAAATGTATATGTTTGTTATACCTATTGTATAGTTTGTTGATTCTCAAATAGGAGTAAATTTCTAATACAAATACAAGATGAAATTTGCTAAGTGCATTAATCTAAAGTTTCTATAAGCTTGTATTTATTTACGGTGTAATTTACACACTTGCTCTATTCCTGTGAAATGCAATCTCAGACAGGATGCTTTCTTAGACATGTTTACTATATTCTAACCCAGGATTCCGTCTGCTATGTCGGTAACTTTGATATGCAGTGATTCTTAATTTCATTCTCATATTTTTTTTCTAAATTTTAAATATTAAAATAGTCTTATTAAAAAGAAAATCCATTTTTAAAATTAAAAATATTTTTACAGTAAAAAAAGTTGATTTTCTAAGAGAAAAAAAAAAAGATTAAAAGATCAGATATATACTATGTGTATGCGATAATCCTAGGTTTTAGTTGCACCCTCGTTGAGATGTTTGCCTGTCCCTTAGGAGCTCGATGAGACCGCGTGACGAGCTGACACGCCCCAATCGACATGAAGAGAGCAATGATAACCCTTTCTAATGTCAATTTTTCTTCACCCCATAAGCTCACGATCAATATATAAGTTTAATGAATTTCAAGAGCAGACGCTGAAAAATAATTGTCCCCCAAGACAAGAATACTGCATCTTGTATATATTGCCAAGTCGTAAAATACCTCTAGACTTTCATATTTTCCGTAGCCTGGGGACGCCTTGGCGCCCGCGGCATCAAGTGAATATAAACTTTTTTTTTTGCTTGCTTTTAAATATCATGGAAACAAATTGATATTAATTTTATTTTTGTTCTTAAAAACTTTTGACGCTCAAGGGCTGAGAATTTTTATTTTGGTAACGGTTGTCATGGAAACGGTTGCTATAGTAACTGTTACCATGGCAACCATACGAGTGTACGAAGGAAGGACAGACGGACGCCAAAGCAAAAATATAAGTCTTTTTTGCCTGAGCCTAAAAATTAGATTTTGAAAATAATTGTCTATTGTTTTTTTTTGTTCAAAGATTCCAAAGGAGAAACACATGATAAAACCATCGCCAGTGATTCATCTTCGAGCAGAAAAAAATGAAATTGAAGCAATTGGTATGAGAAATTCTCATATTCGCGATGCAATTGCAATGTGTGATTTTATGTCGTACATTGAAGAACAAATGGATTACGACACAGATGGATGGGATGAGAAACAAGTTGTTAGGGCAATTGATGAATTTCGTCTTGAACAAAATTTAAGTCGTGGTTTGTCATTTCCCACAATTGTTGGATATGGACCAAATGGTGCATTACCACATTATGAACCATCAAATATATGTCGTAAAATTGGTACTGATTCAACACTTGTTATTGATTCTGGTGGACAATATGATGGTAAAAAATATCATTTTCTTTCCCTAAATTTTGTATTCATGAAAAATAATTATTTTTTTTTTAAATTATATTGTTTCGATTAGATGGAACGACTGATGTAACACGAACAATGCATTTTGGAATTCCATCTTCTGAACAAAAAGATGCATACACAAGAGTTTTAATTGGAAATATACAATTATCGTCATTAATATTTCCCGATGATCTTCGAACAGATCAAATTGATGTTCTTGCGCGTGAAGCACTTTGGAAAAAAGGAGAAGATTATATGCATGGCAGTAGTCATGGAATAGGACATTTTCTCTCGGTTCATGAATGTAAGGAATTAAATTTTAAAAATAAATTTCTTTGTAAATAAAATTATTGTTGATATATATATATGTAGAAAATAATTTTTACAGCTCCAATTAGTATATCATATCTAGGAGGAAGTGCAAATCCATCAGAATGTAATAATATTCGTTTAAAACCAGGATATTTTTTATCAATTGAACCTGGTTATTATAAAGATTTTGATTTTGGTGTTCGATTGGAAAATATTGTTGAAGTTGTTTTAGCTGATAAACCAGTAAGTATTGTTTATAAAATATTTTTGAATAGAAAATATTTCATTAATTTAAATATAATTTCAGAAACAATGGGGTAAAAATTTCTTTAAATTCCGAGAAGTTACTCTCGTTCCATATGAACCGAAATTAATAAACGTTGAAATGTTGACTTTAGCTCATGTAAGTTATATGTAAAGTAGTGTAATACGTTTAGTAAATACAGTTTCAATTAGCGTCCGATAGAGGGCTAGTGAAATCTCTCTCACAGTTGACAAATAAAAAGTATATATAAAGCGTTTTGAGTATAGTCTTTATATTTATTAACCTTCGCTTGACAAGATGCCCACCCAGGGTGGGCCAGACAAATTGAAATTGCCATATCTTCTAAAGTTTTGCCTTAATTGAATCGCAATTTTAAGTCACTGAACAAAATCTTAAGAACTTTCAAAAAATGTAAAAACAAATTTTAAAAAAAAATTTCTTCTTGATTATTTATAACTTTTATCAATGTATGTACGGATATAACCGGGATGATTCAGATATTTTTTTAATTCTATTTTACAAAAAGACTTGAAATCATGCAGACTTTTCACTATGAGTGTTTTATGATGTCAAATAATAGATATAAAAAATATTATATTGCATTTTTCATTTGTTTAAACAATTTATTGTTATTATTTATTAACTTTCTTTGTTCTGTACCTAGAAAGATGCAGTTTTTTTCTAATTTTGCAATTTATCAAGCGGAATATAATAAAAGATAGATTTGATGTAAAATTATTAATTCAACAATTGTTTAAACAATTATTGTTATTATTTACTAACTTTTTTTGTTCTGCTCCTAGAAAGATGCAGTTTTTTTCTAATTTTGCAATTTATCAAGCCGAATATAATAAAAGATAGATTAGAAGTAAAATTATTAATTCAACAATTGTTTAAACAAATAAAGTTAATAAATAACAACAATAAATTGTTTAAACAATCGTTTGAATACTAAATTCATATAAAATCTTCATGTTTATTATGTTGAGCTTGTTAAGTTGCAAAATTAGAAAAAAATTGCAACTTTCTTGGAACATTATAAAGAAAGTTAATAAATAGCAACAATTATTTGTTTAAACAATTGGTTAAATAGTAAATTCATATAAAATCTTTGTGTTATTATGTTGTGCTTGTTAAGTTGCAAAATTAGAAAAAAATTGCAATTTTCTAGCAATATTATGAAGAATGTTAATAAATAGCAACAATTATTTGTTTAAACAATTTATAATAATAGTTGTTGCAGATTGAATTATATATTTTATTTTATTTATAACCTTTGAATTAATAACTACGAAGAAAAGGTAACAAATTTATAAAATTCTTCTACTGTCATATGTATATTTGAAAAAGTTATAAATTATTAATAATAAATTGTTTAAACAAATAAAAAATCAACAAAACATTAATAAAATATATTATTTGGTAACATATAACAATTTTGGAAAAAAACTGAATGATTCTAAGTTTTTATTGCAATATACAAAGAAGAAAACATTTGGCCCACCCTGGGTGGGATCTTGTCAACCGTGTATATAAAAAGTATCCAGTCCGGCGAAGGTTAAAATACAAAAACATTTTTTAATTATATCCTTTTTTTTAAGTATATAATTTAAATTCTAAATTTTTTAAAAGTATTTTTTGTATAATTTATATAGTATATAATTTTTTTTTTTTTAATTAAGAAAATTTCTATAATTATTATTTATATTTTAAAGTAGATAATAAGATTCTTTTTTTTATATTTTAAAATACGCGTAATTGAAGAAATATTTTTTTTAAGCGTCGGTGGTTGAATCAGTACAATCGACGAATTCGAGAGGAAATTGGACGTGAATTGAAGCTTCATTTGAAAGTGAGAGCCTTTAATTGGCTGGAAAAAAAAACTCGAGTCATTCCAGAACGAGGTCCTGTCAATATGGATTTTTTCCTTGCGTCCCATTCTAACTCATTAATTCGTGAAAACACATATCAAATACTCTTTAGTATTTTTATACTTCATTATTTATTTAGTAAGTGTATTAATTTATATTATTACTAATGTTTTTTATTACATATATTTATTATTATTATTATTGATATTATTATTATTATTATTATTATTATTATTATTATTATTATTATTATTATTATTATTATTATTATTATTATTATTATTATTATTATTATTATTACTATTAATTATAATTAACACATGTTTTACTCTTGTAGGATCAATATTTTTCAACAGCAGATAACAATTATCTATATTTTAGTTGATAATTTTTCAAAAAGAAAATTATAATTATTTATATATATATGTAGTAGAAAATTCTTTCGGCTGTTGTAGTTATTAAAAACAAATAGTCGCTTAAGAATTGTCACGTCGGCTTTTTTAATTTTTATAATTTGTAGTATTATATATATATATATAGTTTGTAAAAATATTTAAAAAACAATTTATTATTCTATTTAAGATTTATTTAAGTTTATTATAAATAATTTGTTTTTTTTATCTAAGAGGTAAAAAAAATAGACTGCGCAAGAATTTTGAATTATAATTGTTTATTATTTAAGACAAATTGTGGGTAAAAATGTGTTAATTTTAAGTAGGAAATTTATAAAAAAAAAAAAAAAAATTAATAAATTTACATTTATTTTGAATTTAATTCCGAATATTTTTTTTTTATTAACATTACTTTCATTCTTTTTTAAATAAAAAAAAAATTTAATTTTCTTTTTAAATATTTTTTGCACGTTTTTTTTTTTATTTCCAATTTTTATGTCGTGTAAAACATTTTCTCTCTAAAAATAAATAAAAATAAAAAACAATTTCGCTTGTGGTTTTAATTGAACATTCCATTAATTTTGAATTTGCAAAAAAAAAAAAAAAAAACATCTTTATTGTCAAACCAGTGATTAAAATGGGCAGAGACCATGCTTTTAGAAAAGGCATTAAAAAAACTCTCTTGTTTATCAATCAATATTACGAGCGTATTGGAAAAAATATGTAATAAAATTTTTTTGTTGAAAATAATACAAAATACCTGTAACTAGAATTTCAAAAAAAAGAAGTAAAATGAAAAAAAAAAGTTTATAAAAAATTAAAGTTTGTCATTTAAAATTTTTTATTAGTTTAACAATAAAAAATAGAGAAAGAAAAAAAATGCTTTTACGCATACATGATGTTTTGAAATGTATTTTTGAATTTTCAGTGGCGTCAACTTTTTTTTGATGTGTTGTATATGTAGGATATAAAAATTGTGAATAATAAATAAAAATTGACTATAGAAATGAAATTTTTTTTTTTTTTTTTTGATATTAAGAATATAATTCATGACAGAGTGTGAGTTCGCTTTTGAAATTGTTTGAAGCGCCAAGGGATTTGTGGGTTTGGGTAATGTGGTTTTCACTTCGACCACTATCTACTGGCGCTTTTGTGAGGAATAAGTGAAGCGATTTATGTGTACCCGGTCGGTAAGCGGTTTATTGATTAAATTCAAATTCCATTAATTTCTTGGACCGAAACCATTAACGTGCAATTTCTGTTTACTAATTATTTTCCCTGACTAATTGGCTTCCTAATTAAATTACCGATCAAGTGGATTCTTAATTCACTCAATTCTAATTATTATTTATAAATCGATGAATCTTTGCTTTTAAATATTATATATATATAACATAATTATTACAAATACTAAAAAATATTTCATTTTTATTCCCCCCTTATTACTATTTTTATTTAAAAAAAAAATATAAAAATTTATTTTATTCAAAATGTGTTTTTCTTTAAGAAAAAAATCACAATATCTGGTGTTCAAATTTACAAGTATTATTTTTCTGATAAATTTTTTTTTTGTTTTCTATAAAAGAAAAAGTATATCGGATTCACTTTATACTTTAATATAGTCCATATTCCATAAAAGTGTGTATATATATATATAGCATCGTATCGTTCTCATGCTCTACCTTTCAGTGCCATAGAAGGCTTTTTTCAAAAACACATTGTTTTCCTGTGTACGAACCTTATCTTTCGTCGTTTTCGAACCAACCGAGATCCATATACAATGCATTGTTGAAACGCCTAGATAGATTGGAAATTCAGGGCTGGCTCCACATTTTTTTTTATAAAGTTTAATTTTTTTTTTTTTGGACTCGCAAAACACTTTATTTTTTGTTTTTAAATACGTAATATTCATTTTTCACTGTTTTATAATAATAATTATTTTTCATTTATATATATGTTCTATTCAAATGAAAATAAAATATTAAATGTTTTACTTGAATTTTAAAAATCGCGCCAAATGTAGAGAGAGAGGTTGAGAGAGTCTACAAGCGGATGAAAATAGGAACTAAAGAACATCAGTATAGCGTCGAGCGCCTTCAAGCGGATGAAAATATGAACTAAGCTGTAGCAGTATATTTCTATGTGAGTATTTTAATTATAAATAAAATATTAATTGTAAAAGCATGTATCAATATTTTTTATTAATGTATTTGTTTTATTAAACAACTAATTTTTCATTATAACCTCAAAAGCAGTAAAGTAAATTTAAAATTTCACCGAATTTTTGAAATTCACTTTGTAATTAACCTAAAAAATTCACAACGATTATTTTATTTCAATAAAATGAATTGTTTTTTTTTTTTGTCGAGAAAAGTAAATACGTCCCTGTGTGAAAAGCGTCTTGCATCCCAATGAAGAAAGATTTGTGCCATCGATAGTCTCTGGTAAACGAGGGTATAGCTGTATAAAATCGTCTTTATCTCACCACGTTGGCAGGGGAGTATAATATACATTTTTCTTCGGTTTACAGTGATTGTCACATTAACGAGAAAGTGAAGAAAGCAGTAACTGCACATATGGGGGGTCGGTTATAAAAAAAAAAAAACCTCTTTTATGGAAAAATGGTCCTATCTTCGTTATCTCGACTCGTCGAAGCGCTTATGTATTCATATTTCAAAACTCACGAGACATGGACCATTGTGCTATGGGTTATATATATATATATATATTATATGCAGAATGCTTCGTCTCTCGTCGAACGGTTGTGCGGCACGACCACCACCTTCTGAATTAGTAATAGCTCGGTGAGTGCGTACCAACAGAAATGTAATTTGCTACATGTATAGGCTTTTCGTTCTGATAATAGATTAGCTGTTCATAGTACCCCAAATCATGACCAAATACGTTTCGATTGGTGCCATTCAGCCATTGGTCTAACCATTTATGTGGTTACTCACTAAATTGAATTGATTGTCATTGGGAGATTTAATCATTCGCCACAACAATGAATTATCCTTTACAATGAATATTAATAAAAAAAAAAATAGTAATTTTTTTTTTTTATAGCTGGAAGAAAAATATAAATTTCTATTTAATAGATCAATTTAATAGTATCAAATACTGATATTAAAGGTGTCAGATAAGTTACACACAGTTTCCGTATGAGGGCAAGTGGTTGAAAGTTCCGGTAGACGTGTATAAGCTGCTTCCGTTTTGGTCAAAATAGTATAACGACGATCGTTGATATATATATATATATACGTGATTGCAACGGCTGGGAAATATTTCACGGGCCAATGGCTACGAATCTCTTATACGCGCGGGTACGCTTGATTCCAGTGTGGGCAAAACGTAAAATTATTCCATCGCCTTGCCAAATAGGCGATCTAAATGCGCTCAACCGACCAGAAGTGGTAATACGTTACCGGTTATTGCCAGTGGCAGCATCTTGGCGCGCGTCTTGATATCCGCCAAACGATCCTGAGGGTTTGTCGAAATAATTGCCCTACGTAATATAATGTGCAGAGCGTGTTAGATCAATTGTGACGATATAAATTGTAACGTCAGTAAAACGCGACCATTAACTGAACTAAGACAAGACGAGACACAAGGAACATTAAACACAATATAACATTTTGCGTCTACATTTTCTATTATCTATGCCCGTCACGTGAGAGTCGATCGTGCATCGAGAGACTTAACCCTTTCCATATACTCATGTGTATGTATATGCAAAATCCATGATCTACTTATAACGTTATATCTTTGTAAATATTACATATACTCTGGTACTTTGCCTTGTAGAATTTCCCCTTAAGAGCATACATTACTCTTTGATGTATATGAATACATTTCACCATTTCCATTTCTAAAATGATAATCGCAATGAAATTTTCATTATTAATATACTTCTCTATTTTGATAAATATGTAGTTTCTTTTTTCACAAGTTGTTTAAAATAAAAAAATTTTTTTTACAAATAATTTTTAAATATTCTTCTTTTTTTCAGATGCAGTTGGTTGTTTTTTAAGAAAACTAAATCGTAAGCACGAGAAAAATTATCAAACCCTAAATTATAGTTAGAATGACAAAGTCCAGCAATTTTTTTTTTCGATTTATTTAGAAGCAAAATAAAAGTAAACTATATATGTCCAACCCAATCAGAAGAGAAGAGTACTTGCTCGTTGATTGAGTAGTTGATCAATGGCATTTGTGAACGCACTAGTTGAGCTTCTAACGGGACATTGGTCTTGTGACGCTCGACATCAGTCCCGACCCATTCCCACTCAATATATATATATATATATATTGAGGATGAAATTCCAGTAGTCCAGCTCAGTCCTTAGTCATGACCTCTTCCTAGATTGAGCATTCCACAATTGGGAGAATTATTGAAGTTGAGGTCGGTATTTTATCTGGGATAGGAAAGATGAATATATATGCTAAGGTTCTGGTCGCCAGTATTTCGAGATACATGGGGACATTTCGAAGAGACACGTTACGATTTATCCCCTTCAGTATAAAATATTCAGTTTGACTTGCATTTCACAAATAAATTCGATTTACGAATTTTTCAATTGCCAAAAGAGACTCATGATTACAAAATCAGCAAATAAAAATATATCTCATTCTATTGCAATAGTGCAGCCCCCCACCTCTTTTTCCATTTTTCTAAATTTTATTTTCATTGAAAAATTATTTTTCATTTATTGATTATACAGGGATCATTATATTCTAAATTTATATAGGAGAATAAACCTTTTGTGCAGATCAGGTTTCAATTAGCAGTATATGTGTAAAACAAAATAATTAGAATTTATATACCCCTTTTTGTCGACATTTATTATACGCTAATTTTTCGATCATTAACTAATTGAATTAAATATTATTTTTAAGAATTCATTGGAAATTTCACATTTGTAATTTAATATCTCATCTGCTGTTTGAAATTCCTCTTTTTTTTGTGTTGGTTGAAAAAAACGACGTACATTGTAGAATTAGGTCCCCAGTCATAAAATGGCTCAATTACTTCGAGGTACTTATTCTTTAAAAGAAGAAATAGATGTTATTTCAATCCACTATTAGATTACAAGTTTTATTTGTAAAGGATGGTTATCTTTCTCCTCTTCAAGCAGAATTACCAGTATAAAAGTCAGTCGCAGTAAACATATCTCTTCCTTCTTATACATATGACATTCATTGTTGCAAACATTGACTTATTATAAAAACTACGAAAAAAATTCAATTTACATTTCTTTTC